CTGTTGCCACTGTCGCCGATGTAACTATACGGCAGCCGGCTACAATGGCTAGATTGACAATATTTGGTTGTGCATGTATTTGTCATAAGGATCCAATATGAGGTACTTGTACCGGAGTGTAGCGAGCAAAGCCGAACCTGAGTGTGTTCGGTACTGTTGCCACTGTCGCCAATACGGCAGCCGGCTACAATGGCTGGATCGACAATATTCGGTTGTGCATGTATTCGTCATAAGGATCCAACACGAGATAACTGAGCTGGAACTAAGGAATAAAGAGACGAATGCTGGAAAAAACCGAATGCTATTTCCTATTTCCTATTCCGGTGAAACCAAAGTATAAGGATAGAGATAGTCATAAGCCAACAGAACTGAACATTGATGGTTCAATACAAGTTAGGGGTAGGAATAAATCATTAATATTTAAGGTTAGTGCACTCAGCACAAAAGCACAATAAGCCAGCAGGAGCTGTAAAGGTTAGAGTTACAATCAGGGAATGGCAGCTGGTAAACTATAGAGTAGCGGGCGGCAACACGCGACGTAGTCGGGTGTTGTCGCCAGGGCTAGCTTAATAAAAAGAAGGTTGTAATGAGGGAATGAATGATACCGGGCGGCAACACACGACGTAGTCCGGTGTTGTCACCAGGGCTAGCTTGAAAGATGGAACATGATCATCTGTCTTTCTGCCGAGGTATGGCAGCTCCCGCTGACTTAAACTGTACTTGCTAGCTTGCTGTTCTCTCATGCCACCATCAGCCATCACTTCCATCATCAAGATGGCTTCCACCAAACCCTCTCCTAGTACCGGTAGTAGACTTTGGAAGCCTACACGCTACCACTCTCTCCCTCCCTTATTATTACTAGCAGCGCTATGGGGACAAGTGTGCCATGGTCACGGGCCACTGAGGCAACGGAGAGCAAGTTCTCGGCCGATGCCCACTCGAACCCAACAAATGTATGCCGACCATGAAATCATGGCATTGATCCACTTCAATATGGGAACCTGGGCTGGTAACGGGGATCCGGCGTGCAATCGAGATAATTGGCTCGGATTGCAAGGAAGTCACAATCCAGCCGTCTTTGATCCCTACCTGTTGGATACCGATCAATGGGCCGCGGTCTTTCAACGATTGGGTGCCAAGCACGCCGTCTTGACTGCCAAACACGGGTGTGGCTTTTTGCTCTGGCCCAGCAAAGTACCTTTGAAGAATGTAGCCACCCACCAATTGGAACCATATACCTATTCTGTGGGTCGTCCCGGAATCAGTGCCATTCAAGTCGATGTGGTGAAGCAATTCGTCACGTCCATGAGAAACGCCGGATTGGGAGTTGGATTTTACTACAGTCTCAAAAACAACTTTTTGGTAAACATGAAAGATCATCATTTTGAAAACACCACGACGCTGCTACCAGGACAGATTCTCATGACCAAAGAGGATTACGAAGAAATGGCATTGGGACACTTGCGAGAATTGTGGACCAACTATGGGGAATTAACAGAGCATTGGTTTGACAATGGATACACTCCATCCATAAAAGACAGACTGCAAGCTCTGCTCGAGGAGCTTCAACCAAATATGATTGTATGGAGAGGACAAGGCATTACCAACAATACAGTCGCATGGGTAGGCACTGAAAGTGGTTTTCCCGCAGGAGATGATATCTGGTCCACTGGTTGTTACGGGAAAAATCCTGGAGATCCGAATGCTGACGAGTGGTGTCCCAAGGGATGTGATACAACCCTGCAGGATAGAGATCAGTGGTTCTATATGCCTGAAGAACCAATTCGCAGCCTTGAAGTCATGGTGAAACTATATCACAAGACTGTTGGGCGGAATGGAGTCCTGGAACTGGATGTAGCCGTGGACCGTTCCGGTCGGATTCGATACGATCATGCACAACGTTATCAAGAACTAGGAGACTATATCAAAGCCTGCTACGGGACTCCACTGGCTAGCTGGAAAGACCAGAAAGGGTACTTGTTGGATTTCACATTGTCCCAACCAATGACTATGGATCGTGTCATGTTGCGGGAGGATCAATGGCAAGGAGGACAACGAGTCCGCCAATATGCAGTGTATGTGCAAGAAGTGGTGCCATCTAGTACTGTTTCTACGAGCTACGAACAAGAGTGGACTTTGTTCTCACGAGGCCATTCCATTGGGAACAAACGAATCGATGTGGCGGGAGATGGTCCCTCTGTCGTTGCCACCCAACCTGTGAAGGCAACCAAGATTAGGATCCATGTAGAAATTGCTACCGATGTGCCCTGGTTTCGAGAGATTGCCATCTTTTCTCCCTGCCCTGATACCGGCAACGTCACAACATCGATGATCCCGGTAGCAGTGTCCTGATAACCTCTACGTAATGATGTACACTTCCTTTGTCTCCAACGCTGAGCAAGTCGAGAAAGGTACAGGGAGTGACTCTCGCTTCAATAGGCCAGAACATTCGCCCAATGTTGCCTTGGGAGTGACTCTACTATCTTAGCTACTAGTAGCTCAGAGAAACACCCATCACGATAAAACTAGCCGGAGGTACCGGTAACCACCATTCACTGCAGCTGCTAACTTGGTTTGCCAAAACGCAGGAGTCAATCAAGGGCCTTGCACTTCTGGTGTGTGCTGTAGGAGATTTTGAGTCCAGGCTTCCGGGTAGATTTCACAGTTTCTCTCACACTCCCTGTACGGGTACTGGTACTGTTAGCAGCATGCTTCCTCTCTGCTGCTTCAGGCACCTGGCCAGCCAAGCTACGTGCATGTTGACCACGCAATCAAGCTTAGTATTTCGAAAGCGGACAAACTCGATTTCCAGTTGGCTCGCTAGCCGAAAGGGTTCTCCTCTACCAAGCGACCCACACACCTGCACGAACTTGGAAGACACTCCATCATCCACAATGATGGTTACACGGAAAGAGATGAAATTAAGGAGGGATGTTTAAACACATTTATGTATGTGGATTGTGTGGAATAAAAATAAAAAGGAGGCGTTCCTGGGAGGTTCTATGGGAAACTCGAGGGAGAGAAACTGGGAAATCATGGTAATGGCGGGCGGAACGTTACACATCCAAATCCCAATCATCCAAATCCCCAAACAGGTCCATTGCCGCCCACTCGGCTTCTTCTTTGGCTGCTTGTCTCTGTCGTTCCGCAATCTTTTTGTTGAGTCGTCGCTTGAGAATTGACCCCAGTAGCGTTCGAAGCCGTTCATCAAGAGTTGCCATGTCCGTGTACTCTGCCACAGTCGAGGCAGTTACAAACAAGAGAGACTCGACCGTTTTCAAAAGTTGTTGCTGCTCAGAGTCACCATCCTCATCATTGGCCTTGTCATCGTCGTCCTCAAGAGCACTGAGGGTAGTCTTATCTTCATCCTTCTTTTCATGACTCATTGCAGCCTTGAATTCCTCTTCGCTGACCTTGTTTCCGGCCTGCATAAGAGCAAGAAGCTTCTTCTTGGCTTCGCCACGGCTTTGTTCCTTTTGTCGGATCCGGTCTCGCCTGTAAAAGGGCAACAGATCAAGTCAGTCAGTACCACAGGAGGATCCAGAAAACAAGACAATCCCCTATTATCGGTATCCTTTTACTTACAACTCTTTCATCATGAGCTGGCGAAGCACGTCCACGGCACCTCTCGAACAGCAGCCCGGTCCGCAGACTCTGGCTCGCTTCTTGGCCGGCCCATCGTCGCTGATCACATGAACTTTATCCCCAAACCAATGTCGTTTACGCTCGGAGCAGAAACAAACATTGGATGGAAGCTGGGCCGTCGACTCTTCATCACTACTAGCGACAGACTGATTGGTGCCATCGTCGTCGAGAATGACAACAACCGAAGGGATTTTGGTACTATTGGGTGCGGAAGCCATGGTGGAGTTTTGTAGCTCTTCAAAGACAGACAGTGTCTTACTCTTGCAAAATTGTGAGACAATTGGAAGGATGGTGGGCGGGGACAACAGTCTTTGGTGAAGCTCGAGGACGAGCTCAATCTATTTGCGCACAATTAGCCCTGTCACGAAAATTTTCATTCAGTATAGAGAGAAGAGAACCAGCCCCTGCGGGGCTGGATAGTTAGAAGAAGAGAAGAGGAGGAGGGGGGAGGAAGGGGTTCTTAGCAATTGAGGCAATGCCCTTCTGGCTTATTAGCAAGGTACTACATTTGATTCTGTGCAGGTGGCTTGGAATGGAAGTTCTATCGTCGGCAATGCAGCCAGTGTTGTTTCCCACTTTGGAGTCCAGGCTTCTCTGGGAAGCTCACATATAGTATTTGTTGGATTGACACCAGGACTGCTAGTTGAAATTGCCTTGGCTTGGTCGGAAAAATTGCCCTGTTGGTCAGCGCACAGAGATCGCTGTTGATGGCTGCGGCTGCCCGATCTCCCTTCGTGGTGGTGTTGATGGCCCGTGTTGTTGTTACATGTATGACAGTCGAAACTTGAGCTACCGCGACCGGATGCAGGATGGTTGTGTTGATACAGAGGATGCGTCTAGCAGTAGTGGTAAACAGCGTAGTTGGGCTCACGCCCTTGGTGTTTCCTGTTGTTGTGTTGGTGGCACATGATGCCACCAGTCGTACGGTAACAATGCATCGATCAACAAAGGATCCTCTTCAGTCGATCTTCTCTAGTCAGTCAATTCCATAAATTCAGCATTAAGAACAACGAAAGCTATGCCCTTTTCTCTACTCCACACTGGCCAAATGGTGGCTTCAAGCGGTCGACAATGACAGTGAGGGATCGACAACAACAACCCACAGCAGCAGCCATGGGAGCAATGGGTCCTTGTGGAAGAATTGTGACTTGGGATCCCATGCCGGTACCCACGACCGCGCCGCTTGCAGGATCCATGGTTGCGTTGATACAGAGGATGCGTCTAGGTCTATTATTGGTAGTAGCAGTGATAACAGGGCCAGGGCTGGACGCCATTGTCATGCTATTTGGTGTTACAGATGAGTTGTGTTGCGTGGAAGGATGTGGTCTCGAGGCAAAGATACTGCATGCACAAATGAACAGTTTCCACGTGGAAGGTGATACCTCTGGTAAGAAACGTCCGAGACACGTCTCTTCTACCTGTCTCTGACTACTGAGACAGGCTGTCTCTGCGTCTCTGAGACGTAGAATTAATACCAGCCATACTTACTATACGGGATGAAAATTCCGTGTCACTTCGCTGAGACAACTGGCTTTGTCACTTGGCTGCGGTATCAACGATGGTGGCCCAACGGGAGCTGGACAAATGAAGCTGACCACTGAATTATTGCCACTTGCCACGCCCCAGTGTCGTGGAAGTGGGTCATTAATTAATAGGACAAAAAACTCCGAGGAAGCGGGTCCTCAATTAGAAGGAGGATGTAAGGGCAAAAGGTTTGTCCGATACTTGAATCATACTTACTTCATCAACCTTGTCCTTATTAAATTTGGGCTATAATTCCAGCGTTGGCTTTATCGAAAAGACTTTTATTATGACCCAGTACTCAAATCGTGTAGAAACCTACGTAAAACTAATCACAACCAACCAAAACCTCATAAAACAGATCCAACGAAAAACGAAAAGGATCGACCATGGCCAACGGCCGAATCGATACACCATCATCAGTAGCTCGAAAACACCAAACAGACAAGAATAACAAGCTTATTAACACTGCCGGTCCCATTGGAGCCTCTCAGCAACAGCGGAAAGTCCTCTACGGGGCCGAACGGCCGAACGATCAAGTGATTGCTGCCACAGAAGATACCAGTCATTTCACGTAGAACCTGGTACAGTTTCTACAGGAAGATCATCTTCGAAAATCGCAATCACACCCACCATCAACACCAACCGTCCAACCAACCAACTGTCTACTACTCCCCATCAAGACACCACTTGTCGCTACGAGAATCAGTCCCCAACCCCTGCTTATTACCATAGTAACGAGTCAGGAACTGGATCTCACCGCAACAACGAGTTTCTCGAAAGGCAACACAAGACGACCGAGACCACCAACCGACCGAGACCACCAACCGGCTGTTGAATTGCATCGTCAAGAAATTGGAGCTCTCCCTCATTGCAATCCTACCACAATCGGGCAAGCATCAAGTTCTCGAACAAACAACAGCCAACCTCCTAAATCTTCGAAACACCCCCTCTAAATCTCCTGTCCCTTATACCTTCGAAACACTTCCCCTAAGCCTTTTGTCCCTTATATCTCCCAAACACTTCCTCTAAGTCTTCATCCCCTTATATCTCTGGAACATTCCCCCTAAGTCTCTTGCCCTTATCTTTGAGACTAACCCCCAAGCCCCTTCAAGACCTTGGAGCTCTCCCCCATTGAAATCCTATTACAATCGGGCAAGCATCAAACTCTCGCACAAACAGAGAGAGAATGAAGTTTAACTGGAACTATGGGGTGTGAAGACATTGAGGTGTCAAGTCAGCAGCTTGGACGCCTACAGGGGCCTGAATCTTGGACACCAACAGGGGCCTGACCTTGAACACCAACAGGGGCCTTATTGCTGCTGCACACCAAGAGAGATCAAGGTGGTACACTTGGTCATGACTTGAAGGGGCTTGGGGTTGGTCTCAAAGATAAGGGCAAGAGACTTAGGGGGAATGTTCCAGAGATATAAGGGGATGAAGACTTAGAGGAAGTGTTTGGGAGATATAGGGACAGAAGACTTAGGGGAATGTTCGAAGATATAAGGACAGGAGATTTAGAAGGGGTGTTTCGAAGATTTGGGGGTTGACTGTTGGTTGGGTTGTTTGGC